CTTACTCTTTGCACCTTGCGGCTTTTTTGGGCTGTTGCTCGAACCCTGATTTTTTCTACGCAGTGCAAATGCCAAAGATTACTCCAGCGACTTTACGTACGGACTAACATTAAGAATCTCAATTGTTCCGAGTTTTATTAAGCTCTACAGTGGTGACATGAATCTGTCACCTGGTCCAGTGACAGAAAACGTACCATTTTGCATCCGGGAAGTATAAAAAATGCGGCAAATGCTTCCCTCTTCAAGCGAAAAAACTCCGAGTTCAAAAGCGCGCGGGCTTTTTTTGTGAGGGGGAGGGCTTGCCCTTCAAAACGAAGTTCTTTTCACTTGGAGAAGGAAGCATTTTGCCACATTCTTGATACTTCCTGGATACAAAATGGTACGTTTTTTGCCGCTGGATCAGGTCCCCTACTGTAAATTTCTTATCAGACCGTCGGGAAAATAGTGCCGGATTGTCGCACAAAACGTTTCGCCTCTTCGAAAAAGGATGCATGTGCGCACCAAGTGTTCCGCTGCAGCTAGCCCTCGCAAAGCGATGTTGGTCGATTCCAAGGCCTATCATCCAATCCACATTACTTTTCATACAGACTGATATTTGTAACCATTACGGGCAAGGTCTCTTTAGCCACGCAAATTTTCCTTTTACCCTCGAACTTTTCCATAACCGTCATGACCAATTTCCACGACCCGTTATTACATCCGAACTCAAGTCCAAACGCCGTGTTTAGCCTTTCAAAAAACACAGCCAATTTCCCGGTAACGAAACGGCCTAAACTTCCGTTTAGCACGTAAAACTCCCACCAATAATTGCAAGAACATTGCCGGTAGCTACCCGAAAAAAATGGTCGATATTCGGCGAAACGGGCGCTAAACACCGAATCCTCAAATCAGACTTGACGGCTCTTCCGGCTTTTAGCGCCCAACTTGGAGCGCAACACGTCATTCCGCATTCCTTTTCCATCTTTTTGGCGTCTATTCCGGGCCAGTTAATGGTTATAAATAAATGGGAGGTTGATGTGCTCGATGTATGGTGGAATGAAAAGGGGAAGGGGGAAATTGGAAAAAGTTGGATTTGCAGAAAAAATGAAAGCCATGGTCTCGGGTTTGTGATGTCGGTTGAGGAAATCTTAAATCGGAAACGCTGCAAAAGAGGTTGAATTTTAGGGAAGTTAGCCAAAAAAAGAAATAAAGATTTTAGGATATTTTTAGTGCATGGTGACAAACAGAGATTGTCACGGCTCCGGAGCTGGCTCTTGGCTCCGGCTGTGAGCGGCTCCGGCTCCGAACCGGGAGCCAGAGCCGGAGCCGGAAATTTTGGGTGCGGCTCCGGCTCCCGAGCCCAAAGTCGGAGCCAGGCTTCGCAGCGTTCAGAAAAGCAAAAATTTCATAAACCAAATTGCTTGAAAAATACTGGAAAGGATGTGCTGCATACGAATTGGCTGCAAAACCGTTGGGTGTATGATATCCGGCACTAATAACCTTTATATTTGGTAAGATATTTTTAAAAAATTTTTTGCACGGGAGCCGGGATTCGGAGCTGCAAATTTGGCCCCGGCTCCGGCTCTGGGAGCTAAGAGCCGGAGCCGGAGCCTAAATTTTGACCGTGGCAATCTCTGATGACAAACCGAGTAGTACCAAGTCGCCAGATCATACTCATAAGTGTTTCCTTACAGCACGCACTGTGTGAAAAGAAACGTTTTCTTTGCACTGTGCTATTTTTTGCTTTTTGCACCGTGCAATAGGCTTTTTTGGGCTGTCGCTCGCACCCTGATTTTTCCGCACAGTGCACATGCAAAAAATCATTTCGGCGTAAATAAACTTTTCCAAAAGTGCGTAGACTGTTTGTTGTGGGCCGCATCGTACACAAACCCCCTTTTTGCGATTTGCATATGGCCGTTTGCACTGTGCAACCAGAATATCGCTGCGACATATGCTTTTTCCTGCAGGATCGGAGCGAATTTTAGGCGCGTGAAAAGTAATTGCAATGTGCAAATGTTTCGCAAAATTTTCGATCCGACAGAGTGTTCATTATTTTCCCGACGATATGAAAAGTAAAAGAAATGGTGTTTTAATTGAAACTTGTGCTCGAACTATATATTATTACATAGTGAAACCTTAGTACAGCCTGCAGCGAAAGCCAAAATCCCAATCTTGCATTTGATCTGATGTTGTTATGTTTGCAATATCAGATCAAGATTTGTGCCATGTGTAAAAAAATTTTCGCCAATAAAAAGAGCATCGCGCTGAAATCCCTCTGAGACTACGATCTCAGTAAGCAGTTCTATTCATGACGCAGGTTCTATCAAAATTCAGAGAAAAAGCAACTTGCAAATTTGAAATTTCATTTCCCCTCTTTCCTAACTTGATCTCCTGCCAAACCTCAAGATAGCCCCTTCACTCATCATTCCCCAATCTGACGTCGTTCCGCGAATCCGTAGCCCAAAACACTACGAAATTAGGTTACGCGCACAAACGATGAAAGGAGCGGGGCCCGGGGAGGAATCCGCGAAACGAAATAAGACGCTTCACGCCGTCACCGGCGCACGTGAGAAATTCTTGTGGCAAATCTCGAGAGTCAAGGCCAATTGTCGTGTGCCCTTGAGGCGGAGGGGCCGCTAACTTTTTTCTTCCGGCACTCCCCATTTAATCGACGAGTAGCGACGGGCCAAAAGCCCGAAGGTTAAAGTTTAGGAGATGAACGCGAAGCTTTGTACGGTCTCTTCGGGATTGGCGAATTACAGAAATCTTTGCTTGAAAACGCTCTTTGGAATGGATCAAAGAAATAAGGCCATGTACTCCAAAGGGCTTTACACTAGTGAGTGCAAAGTGGCCTTCAAATGGCCACAGATGGCCCAAGTTTTCAACTGGGTCCATCAAGTCATCAGATCATACAGTGATTCAGTGGCAAAAAACGTACCATTTTGTGTCCGGGAAGTATCAAAAAATGGGGCAAAATACCTCCCTCTCCAAGTGAAAAAAACTCCGTTTTGAAGAGCCCCCTTTTCCTCACAGAAAAAGCGTTCGCGCTTTTGAAATCGGAGTTTTTTTAACTTGGAGAGGGAAGCATTTTGCCACATTTTTGATACTTCCCGGATGCAAAATGGTACGTTTTTTGCCACTGGATCGGGTCTCCCACTTTAGCAAAACGCCAAGTTTATTTCTTCTCGTCTATTGCCAAAGATGAAGGATGACAATTGAAAAAATGCGGAAGCAAAACTTTGCCGAGCGTCCGCCGAGCATCTCACGGTTTTGCCAGGTTTGCTGGCACTTCCTACAACCTTTTTTTGCGTATCCACCTGCCCTACCCCCCGTGTTAATCGATTTTGTGTTGACCCGAAATGTCATCGAAACAAAAAGCCGGGACGCGAATTTTACTACGAGAAGCATTACTTTCAACTAAAGAAGTTGGCTCTTATCCATGACCTTGTAAGTGGCGGAGCTGATCCAGTGGCAAAAAACATACCATTGCATCCGGGAAGTATCAAAAACGCAGCAAAATACCTCCTTCTCCGACTAAAAAGCTCCGCTTTGAAGAGCGCATCCTTTCGCTCACAAAAAGATCATGAGCGTTTTTGATATTGGAGTCTCACTTGGAGAGGGAGGTATTTTGCCGCATTTTTGATACTTCCTGGATCCGAAATGGTACGGTTTTTGCCACCGGATCATTTCCATCAATGTAGGCCGTTTTTTCGTTAAAAATTTTCTTTTACTTTTGAAGTTTAAAGAAGATCTTGGAACGCTTTCCTTGCGAGCTGACTAGAGTTCTCGTCGTCTCTAACAAATTGATTTATAAGTGGCCACAGATGCTCTGCGACTCAATTTAGTCGATTTCAAAAAAAAGACTACGAATTTGGAAGACGATGATTCAAAGATCACTGCCGACAAAAGTTTTAGCGTCATTTCCAATCAAAAACATTCTGCAAAGCCTCCACTCAAAACAAAAACTAGTTTTTATCATCGTGCACACCTCGTATTACAGTAAATTGTTGAAATCATCGGAATTTCTTCAAAACTCCCCCACCGAGAGCTCCATTCCCATTTTTGGGCAAGTCGGCAATTATAAAGCCACCTGTCACACGTTTTACACCCCCATTCAACCACTCTCCAGGACATAATCTTTTCCGAAGACGTGCCAAAAGTGATGTGGACACGTGTTTTTCGAAATGGAAAGGTCAAGAAATTTGGAACCGAATATATTCAAATTGAATATGGCACAGAGTAAAAACAGACCTTACTCGGTGATTTATGATGCCCCGGAAATTTTTAGTCAAGCTTAGGGATAGGGATAGTTATTGTAAAGGTTTGTAAAAATGGAGATAAAAAGCGGTAAGTGTATAGTACAGGGTTCTCCATGGCTTCACCATCAACTCTATCTTGGTGCTTTTCAACCGAAAAAGTCCCAAATTTCGAGATCATTTCCAACCGAAAAACCTTGGTTTTTGGGGTAAAGGAGCCCTTTTTCAAAAGGTTGTAGCGACCTCAGTTTGCCCTTTAAAATCTTGTTATTTCACAGACAAACATTAATGTCGCTTAAAAGTACACGTTTCAAAAATGAAGTCTCTGCGCCGCCTCCGCCGGAAGTTATAGCCTCCGACTTTCCTTCACGTTTCTTGAAAGACCCTGTAAAGTAATGGTCATTTGGGGATAAAAGTCGTATTCTTTTGCTGCAAAATGCCTCTGTAATGGACTAACATGCATTTTGGGACGTCCTTGTCTTCAATTTGACAACTTTTTTATTCAAAATCATCAAAAAATCCAGAAAATTTGATGTTGATCTAGGCAAGTATAATATAATATGAAAAATACGCTTAACGCCGAGAATAATTCGATTTTTTTACTCTCCAAGCGGCTCGAATTCAAAGAAAAAAATTCAAAACAATCAGATTCATTCCGAAGTCGTATTTTACCCATATTTCTTCACGCAGCCTGCAAACCCACGGGCGCATCTTGCCGAAAAAGAATCCCGAAAAAAGTCGGATCAAAAATCGACGACGAGAAACATGGTGGAAAACGGGTTGGAAAATGAGTTTACTGACGATAAATGGCTTCAGAAAGTCTTTCACGATGATAAGGAAGTCCTTTGGCCAAGAGAAGCGGGTGAATTTGTGGCTAAAACAACAAAAATTGTCAAGATTAACAACGAAAAGGTCGATGAGGTGGCAAAACTGGTAAGTTCTTTTAAATTTTTTGTTTGAATTTTAGAGATTAGAAGACTTCGAACGATTTAAACAATATTGGTCTATAAAATACAGGGTTTTCGATAATTTTTTGGTGTCTTGATCATGGATAATATAAAGTTATGGTTGTTTTACAAAATTTTGACGTTGAAGAGCTAAAGTAAAGACCTTAAGATGATGTAGGGTACATTTAAGGACTTATAAAGGAGCTTGCGGGATGCTGCTCACTGTTTGGCCTACCTGCCATGTATTATATCCGGATACCTCAATTTTACTCTTTTTTATCCCGAAAACTCTTCAAGAATTCTCCTCAGCATCTTGTAGTTTAGATTTACGACGAGGCCAAGAAGGGTGCGCTGGAGAAAACCGAGTTTCACGACCATGAACTTCACCCCAATTACGAAGATCCAGAACGGACCGCAAGATGGGTATTTTTCGTTGATACGATCAATTTTTGCTTCTGGTATGGCCATGACGGGAATGTAGAATATAATGGGAAGAATTATTCGGGTTACTATTTTGGTGCAGCGTGTTTGAAGAGGGCTCTGGACAATTATAATATCGATGTGACAGACCCTAATGTGATGATCACCTTGGATGAAAAGAAGTTTGGTGAGCTGTTCAGAGGGAAATGTAAGTGGTTTCAATTTTGTGTTTTTATTTTTAGGTGGTTCTAAGCGAAAAAAACGGACTTGATCTACTACAAGGTCATGGATAAAATCGAACTTTTTTGGTTGAAAAATAACACTTTTCATAGTAAAAGTGCATAAATGAGGGTGTATTTTTTCTAATTATTTTGGTTCCGAACTGACTTTCCAAGTTTTCACATCAAAATTCACCTTTTGACCTTGTTTTAGATACCTTGATTGTTTTCAGTGCCAATTGGTCTCTCAGCTCTGCGAGCGCGCGCCGTTGTCGAAGCTGGTCGAGTTCTTCTTCAAAAATACGACGGAAAAGTTCTAAATCTTCTGAAATCAGCGAATGGAAGTGCTCAAAGTCTGGTGAAAATATTGGTTCGGGACTTCAAGAGCTACCGAGATTCCTGCGTCTATAAGGGGAAGCGACGTGAGTTTTTAAAGTTGTATTGTTGACGTTTAGTGATGATCCTAAAACGAGCTCAAATCTTCACCGCCGATGTTTATTCCGCTTTGAAGGGGAATTCCAAGACAAATGTGGCCAATTTTAGAGACATAGAGTAAGTTTAAAGTGCGGTGACGAGGAGTAAATCTCGATTTCAGTTCATTGACAATGTTCGCCGACTACCGAGTCCCTCAAATTCTCTGTCATCTGGGGGTTTTGGAATATTCGAAGCAATTGCAAAATATTTTGAAGAGATTCTCTCCAATTCGAAAAGGATCTGCCACGGAAACTGCAATCAGAGCAGTCTCCATTCATGCCTGTGATGTAAGAATCATTTTTAAAAATATTTTTCGATTTCTAGAAACTAACGAAAAAAGTAATCGAATTGGAAAAAGAGCACGGAAAGTTGTCGAAGCCCGTCACTGACGCCGATATTGACGTATTTTTGTGGCTGAAGCGGCGAGAAATCGCAGAGGAGGTTGAGAAAACCACTTCCCACCATCGAGTCATCACCTGGTTTTACTGAAACCCGGTGAATTTACTTGTGAAAAAATAGTAAATTATTCTAAATTATAGAGAAGTAAATATTTATAGATATTCCGAAGCAGAATTGATGATATTTTTGGGCATTATTTTTTGTCGTAAAATTGAGGAAAATTATATTACACTAGAGTAACCCATCCCATTTGGTTTCAAAATTTATTGTGGTTTTTTGGCCGGGCTTTGAATCGATCAAAGTCAAATAGGATGAAACTTTGCATAGCTTATTCTTAAGGGCTGGTTAACACTTCTGTAAAAGTTCATGACATTTGGAAAAAACCCCTCGAGACACGATCAAAAAATGGGGTGGAACCAAAAACCTGGGACGCAATGTACAGTGGCGGTCCAGTGCCAAAAAACGTACCATTTTGCATCCGGGAAGTATCACAAAATGTGGCAAAATGTCTCTCTCTCCCAGTTGAAAAACTCCGATTTCAAAAGCGCGCCCGCTTTTTTGTGAGAGAGCTCTTCCAAACGAAGTTTTTTTCACTTGGAGAGGGAGGCATTTTGCCACATTTTTGGTACTTCCCGAATGCAAAATGGTACGGTTTTTGCCACCAGATCAGGTCCGTCACTGTACATTACGTCCCAGGTTTTTGGTCTCGCCGTATTTTTTGATCGTATCTCGAGGGGTTTTTTCCCAAATGTCATGAAATTTTACAGAAGGGTTAATCAGCCTTTAAGATTAATCTATGCAAGGTTTCATCCTATTTGGCTTTGATCGATTCAAAACCGGGCCAAAAAATCACAATAGATTTTGAAGCCAAATGGGGTGAAACGTTGCATCGATTATTCCTAAAAGCTGATTAAAATTTGTGTGAAATTTCATGACATTTGTAAAAAAAACCCCTCGAGGCATGATCAAAAAATGGGGAGAACCAAAAACCTGGGACGCACTAGTGCCTTGAAACTGAAATACAACTTGAAAAATAACAGTACAGAGACCAATTTATTCATTCCAAAACCAGTCAGAATAGTCAAAGATTTCCCTCATTTCTCTACTTCTTTCCCTTCTTGGAACTCTTCCGTCGGGAGGACGGTCCGTCATCAGTCTTCTCCAATTTGCAACTCTCCACCTTCTCCAGCGTATCATCCTCATCCGACTTGGACTGGAAGAATCCCTTTTCAATTTTTTCCTGCTTCTCCTTTTTCAACTTCTCCTCGATCATCTTCTTCTTGTGCGAGTTGAAATCAGTCTGAAATTTAAGTTTTTTTTGGGGGGAAATGATGACACACAAGAAAAGGAAAATATATTCACCTCAATAGGTTTAGCTTGTGACTTGTTTTTGTTGGGCTTCTCCGCCGAGGCGGCCTTCTTTACCGCTGAAAATGAAAAAAATGGAGGATTCGTGGCTTATTGAATATTCAAAAAAGATACAGTGAGGGACCTGATCCAGTGGCAAAAAACGTACCATTTTGCATCCCGGAATTATCAAAAAATGTTGCAAAATACCTCCCTCTCCCAGTGAAAAAAGCCCGATTCCAAAAGCGCGCCATTCAAAACGGAGTTTTTTAGTTATAGAGGGAGGCATTTTGCCGCATTTTTAATACAGGGTCTTTCAAGAAATATGAAGGAAAGTAGGAGGCTATAACTTTCGGCGGAGGCAGCGCAGAGAGTTAGTTTTTGGAATATGTATTTTTCAGTGACATTATTTTTTGCCTACGAAATAACAAGATTTTTAGGTGCAAACTGAAGTCGCTACAACCTTTTGATAAAGGGCTCTTTTACCCCGAAAACCAGGGTTTTTCGGTTGAAAATGATCGAGAAATTTCAAGAGTTTTTCGGTTGAAAATGATCGTGAAATGTCGGGTTTTTTTGGGGATTTCGATAGAGCTGACGTTGAAAACAAGGAAGGAAATTGCCAACACGTTGCAAATGGAGCAAAAATTCAAATAAAAAGATGAAAAATCATCTAAACAACTATTCGTTTAAAAAAATGAGTTGGACCACAGAAGTTCGAGTGGAGTGTGTCGGCTAAATGATTCAAACGGGATCTCCAGCTGCTGCACGGCGGATTTTCCAACACAGTGCCAAAATTTTTTGGCACTTTTGTAAAGAGACTGGCAAAAAATTCCATGAAACTCCGACATTTCTCGGTGATTTTCGACCGAAAAACTCTGAAATTTCTCGATCATTTTCAACCGAAAAACCCTGGTTTTCGGGGTAAAAGAGCCCTTCTTCAAAAGGTTGTAGCGACCTCAGTTTGCACTTAAAAATCTTGTTATTTCGTAGGCAAAAAATAATGTCTCCGAAAAATACATATTCCAAAAACGAACTCTCTGCGCCGCCTCCGCCGAAAGTTATTGCTTCCTACTTTCCTTCACATTTCTTGAAAGACCCTGTACTTCCCGGATGCAAAATGATACGTTTTTTGCCGCTGGATCAGTTCTGTCACTGTTCAAAAGCCGTATAAATCACTGATGACTGTATCTAATGCCCCTTCCCTCAAAACCACCGCCAAAACTGACCCGGACTATCCATTTTGGAGCCCTTCTCCACTGGCTTGACGGTGGAGCTGGTGCTTCCTTGTGAGGCGTTTTTGCTTCCCGCTCCGCTCGGAGTCGTTTGCGGCTTCTTGGCCTTCTGCTTGCTGCACTGCAAGAGCAGTGCGGCGCCGACGACTGAGGCTAGCCAAACCCAGAGAATTTCTTGCTAAAGACAGGAGAGATGAAGCTGGTCCATAAAGTTGCTGGAGTGATTTTGCTGGCACTGAATTACTATAATAGCTCTATAGCTTTAAGCGTACCTACAAAGGCTATAACGACTTATTTAGTTCCGTACGGAGGCAATAAGTTTAGTACCGGACAGGTCTCATCGAATAAAGTGTAAAATCGCAGGCTTCAGCCGTTTTTGAAGGGTAAGGAGGAACGTAAAAAATAAGGTACCTCACTAACTAAATCCACTGTCCGGGCATTGACAACGATGGGTTGAGCCTGCACGCCAAATTTGGGCTAATTCTGTCCATTTTCCGCAAAGTTATAAGTTGTGGCCAGAATAAGGAACTTTTACCGATTTTTGACGTTTGCATTGCGCCGGCAAAGACAGAGAAAAATCAGGGAGCGAGCGACAGCACAAAAAAGCCTATTGCACGGTGCAAAGTGAACTTTTTTGCACAGTGCATGTCGTTAAAATCACTCAGCGGCTTTCAAACGGACTAATAGTCAAAATAATCGCCAATCGAAAAAGCGGCAAAGCAACATACCCATAACATTTCCTCCATGGCGCGAAAACAACAGATTCCCAACAACTGCTCTGGAAAAGGGACCCTCACCCACAATGACAAAGAATCTCGTGAGAATGAGAACTCCAGAACTTTCGTACGATTTTATTTTTTCTCATTTTGAACATTTTTGGAAATTTGCATTTTTTTGGAAAAATACGCGTCCTCTAGCATTTTCTACTCAAATTGTGAATAGGTCATAAAATTAATTGTGAATAGGTCATTCACAATTTGAGACCTCATTGTCAGATGTTGAAAAATGCGTCAGTAAACTGGTTTTCTACAGTGTCCGCACCTGATTCAGTGGTCAAAAACGTACCATTTTGCATCCAGGAAGCATCAAAAATGGGGCAAAATACCTCCCTCTCCAAGTGAAAAAACTCCGGTTTCAAATGCGCTCTTTTTGTGAGGGAAATGGCGCGCAGTTCAAAACGGAGTTTTTTAGTTGGAGAGGGAGGCATTTTGCCACATTTTTGTTACTTTCCGGAAGCAAAATGATACGTTTTTGCCACTGGATCAGGTCCCTCACTGTAGAGCCAACGTTTATTATCACTGACGAACGGTATATATTGTATCCGCAAGACGTTAATGACCACTCTTTTCCAAGAATATTCATCCTTTTATTACATGTTACCAATGGAGTTCACAATAAAAACCAGAAAGAGACAAAAAATCATAATATTATGAGCTTATACTATTACACATGAAAGAAATATAACATACCACATACAGTGGCAGATCCGATCTAGTGGCAAAAACGTACCATTTTGCATCCGGGAAGCAGCAAAAACGCAGCAAAATACCTCCCTCTACAACTGAGAAGACTAAAATTTCAAAATCGCGCCTGCTGTTTTTGTGAGGGAGCGCTTCAAAAAACAAAAGTTTTTTAGTTGGAAATGGAGTCATTTTGCTGCGTTTTTGATACTTCCCGGATGCAAAATGGTACGTTTTTTGCCACTTGATCAGGTCTACCGCTGTAGTAAAAAACCGAGCTCAGAGACAACATAATTACAACACAACCGTATTCTACAAGGCCATCGAGGATTTCAGACCGATTACATTAGGTTTTTCGACAAATTTCTCAACAATATTATACCATATGAAGACAAAAACCGAGCAAAAATCAACCCGTCAGCGTTCTAATTCATTTCAGTCGACCCGAAAACAAATACACGCAAATTGGTGGCCTTAGGGGTCCAGTTTGGTGGGGCGTTCTTGGGCGTTGGCGCGCTGCTGATCCGACGGACTCTTGTCGCAACTTTTGGTGACCGAAGTGTGGATGGAGGAGGTGCAGTCCCCTTCCCAGTCGTATTTCGCTCCAATCGAGATCCGCGCCTCTTCGCAGGCCTGAAAGTGGAGGAGATTAGAGAAGGCGAACTTTTTATTGTTCTTTGATTTTTTGATAAATCTCTCAGCCGCGCATAGTGAAATTTTTTTGGACTTTGCAGGTGCGAAAACCTTGCTTTTTTAAAAGCGAAGAAAAAAGTGTTATGTATAAAAATTGTTTTGTCGATGAAATTAAACGTCTGTCTCAAAATGCTAAAAGTATTTAGGGCAGCAGACCTACTACAGTGGCGGACCTGTTCCAGTGGCAAAAACGTACCATTTTGCATCCGGGAAGTATCAAAAAATGCAGCAAAATACCTCCCTCTCCAAGTGAAAAAACTCATATTTCAAAAGCGCGCCCGGTCTTCTTGTCAGGAAAAAGGGCCCTTCAAAACAAAGTTTTTCACTTGGAGAGGGAAGCATTTGCCACATTTTTGATACTTCCCGGATGCAAAATGGTACGTTCCCAAGGTCGCTGGAGTGATTTTCAATATGACTTCTTGCGAGCGAAAACAAAAGTTCAACTTGCACTGTGCAATTTCTTGCCTTTTGCACCGTGCAAAAAAGCAAGAAATAGCGCAGTGCAAAGAAAAGTCTTGTTTTTTCACTGTGCAAACGCCAAAAATCACTCCAGCGACTTTACAAATGGACCAATAAGCAATGCGTATTTCCAAAAGAAACAAAAAATTTTTCAAAACCAAAAAAAAATTTTTTAATTTCCGGTATTGGGCATAAAAAAAAATATCAAAAATCCTTGTGTTTCAAATCTGGATATAAGACGTTTCAACGTCTAAAAAGTTGTTTTAACCCTTAAAAATTGATTTAATCAAAAAATTCCATCAATTTCTCTCTTTTTTCAAGAAAAAATTACTATGCCAAAATTGGCCCCAAAATTCAAAAATCAAAAAAATCAAAAAAAATCCCACCTCCACCAAAATTTTCTGGAATTCCTGATACGGTGGGCACGAGTCAAACGCCAATTTGTCGATCATTTCCATCAATCGGTCGTATTGTTTGGGGCATCCGGCAAAGAAGGCGGTCCGGTTTGTGGTGCGGATGCTGAGCTTCGTCTCCTGCACCTTGGCCCGGTCCGTCACCATTCTCCAGGGCAGCGAGCCTTTTGTGATTTCGACCAGCTGAAATTTCAAATTTATTATCAATTTTCGGCGTATTTTAGGGCCAAAAATCTACTTTTTTTGTGACTTTTTTCTCAAAAATTAATTTTTTATCTCAAAAATTAATTTTTTAATGCAAAAACCAAGAAAAAAACTTACCATGTAGAGCCAGCTTTCGTAGTCGTCCTTTCGGCCCAGGTCCGCCTTTTGATGGGCTTGCAGTGATCCGTAGCGGGTGGTACCTCTCCATCCGGGCTCTTTTCTGGCTGGGAGGACGTTGGAATTCTGAAAAGTTTATTGGTATTCTTATTGGTTTCAAATCAAGGTTTGAGATACTAGAGCCCCCCAAATACGCTTTACTGGCAACCTAATAAACTTCGATTGGCAGTGGAAGTACCCCCGTGCGACGCTCAGATTTTGATGAAACTTGGCATAAATTCAGAATATTTTTTTCTAAAACATATGCGAGAATCCTAGCGCTTTGCAGAAACAACCTAGATTTTTAGATCGAGAGTCGGCGAAAATTTGACACTTTTTGCCGAATCTCGGCACAAAAAGTTTCATGCCTATTTCTACCATACCATAGAGGGTAATACTTCCTTAAAAAATACTTTTTTCCGCACGAAACTAGCAAAGTTATAGCCAAAAAGCTTTTTCGCTCTGGCCGCTCTCCGCGGTCAGCATGCTTTCTCGGCGGCCAAGATCGTTCAATATCTCGGCGGCGCTTGCAAATCGCGAGCTAAAACTTTCAGGAATTGATATTTCGTTCATGCCCGACTTTTGTGCAAAATGTAACAAATCTGAGCGCCGTACTTGGGGTACTTTCCTTGTGAGCCCGAGAGGGCCCCCTAACCTAGAAGACACCTCCCAATTTCACAAGAAAACCGAAGAGGCCCCCTTTAATTTTTTTTTTCAAAATTAAGGGTGACATTTTATACGATGAAAAAGTTGTTGAACATTGAAAACATAGGATGTGACATTTTATACGATGAAATGTCATGCCTTATTTTTTCGATTTTCAAAGATTTTTTCATCGTATAACATGTCACCCTTCATTTCAAATTTTTTTAATTGGCCATTTTTTCCAAATCTGAAGTTTCCCTTTACATTACACACCTCAATAGGTTTTAGCCTATCCAACAAAGCCTATTACCACCTCTTTTCACCCTACCTTGTCCAAATACTTTCTGCTCAGGCCAAAGTCGAACATGAACACGATCCGATGCTGTTCCTCGTCCCTGTTGCCGATGGCGAAATTGCCCGGCTTCACGTCGCGCGAGATGAACCCGGTCCGATGCAGCTCTTCGATGGCGGCCGAGGTCTGCATCCCAACTCTGAGGGCGGTTCCGATCGAAAACTTTCGCTCGGGCTGTTCGTTGCGAAGGCGCGCGATATCCGGCCCGAGAAGTGTGACCACAATGAACATATAGTCGGGAGAGGAACGGCCCTGAAGGTAGAATGTATTCGAATAATTAAAATCGAGTTTTTTGAAAATTCAGGTTTTCGTGGTGGGACCAAAAGCTATGGGAAAAATGCAAAAAACGGTTGCAAAAGTGTCAAAAATAATGTTTTGAGGGCATAGATGGCATATAAACGTAAAAATCATGGCGTTAAAAAGTTTCCACATTTTCGTGGTGGGACCCAGAACTTTTGAAAATATTCAAAAATCAAGGTAAAAGTGACAAAATGAACGTCCAAAAGCTCTAACACTTCACATATTTTTAAATCAGTGTGCCAAAAACTTCTTCACGTTTTCGTGGTGGGACCCAAAATTTCAAAAAAATTTTAAAAAACTAAAATTTTCCCAAAAAAACTTTACCAATCCCATTCAACAGACCTACCACATCAAACAAAGTGCAAAAATGTCGGCAACTCCGTGCATTTGTCGCCTTCAGCACACCAATCTCGATCTTCAGCACCGTCTTGCTCCACTTCTCGGCTTTCAAGGCGTACGCGCGGCTGTCGCAATCGTTCGCCTCGAACACGGTCCCATAGCCGCCTTCGCCGAGCACTCTCTTCAAGTTGTAGGTGCGGTTGGTGTCCGACTTGACCGTCTCTCCGGCCTGCGGCAGACGATCGCCCTTGGTTTGGGCGCCGTCGTCCTTCATTCGGCCGCCGATTGTTTTGTAAGCTGAAAAAATGGGGAAAAATATGGGGTTCGACCTGCAGGGGACATTTTATACGATGAAAAGGTGGCTAGGCTCAGCTTACAGTCAGCTTAAGTTAGCCTAAAAAAGAGGGTTTTATCAAGCTAAAATGGCAAATTTCAGGCTTCTAAGAGACCGAAACAAAAAAAATTAAAAAATTTTCTAAAAAATAAAAAAAAATTTCCAAAAAATCAAAAAAATTTCCAAAAAATCAAAAAAAATTTGAAAAAAAAATTTAAAGAAAACCCCCTTTTCGCCCCCAACTTACTTCTCTGATGAGTTCTGGTGTTGCTGAATGGGCGCTTGCACCAATTGTAGAAGCGGCGAAGCGAGGAGGAGCGTCGACGCTCGGCGTTTCGCAGTTGCAGGGGCTCGTCGGAGGCGACGTCCACGACCGCTCCAATTTTGGCCACCCTGTTCGAATGAAAGTTGCGCTGTTGGAGGTCAATTGTGCTGGAAAAATGGAAATGGAAATTTAGGGAAAAAAATAAAAATTTCATTTTTTTCACAATTTTTAATTTTTGAATTTTTGAAAAAAAATTGGGCGAAGTTCCGCAGATTGGCCACTAGTATAGGATTCTTTAGCCGAATTTATCATTTCAACAGCGTATTTTACTCAAAAATGAAAAACTATTTTTTTTGGAAAAACTTCCTTTTTCTGGCCCGGCGCTTCGGATGGTTTCCTTGCAGATTGCGAATAAAATTAGGAAACAGCCTAAGCGCTAAACTAACAGGGGAAGTACCCCAAGTGCGACGGTCAGATTTTGATGAAACTTGACACAAATTTATAATGTTTTTTTCTAAGACATGTGCGAGAATCGTAGCTCGCGCTTTGCAGAAACAACCGAGATTTTTTGGATCGAAAGTTGGCGAAAATTTGACAATTTTTGCCGAATTTTGGCACGAAAAGTTTCGTGCCTATTTCTTCCATAGAGGGTAATGTTTCCACAAAAAATCAATTTTTTCCGCGCGAAACTGCCAAAGTTATGGCCAAAAAGGGATTTTCCCTCTGACCGCTCTCCACGTTTAGTGTACTCTCTCGGCGACAAACATCGTTGAATCTCTCGGTGGCGCCCGCAAAGCGCGAGCTAAAACTTTCAGGAATTGATATTCAGTCTATTCCCGACGTGTGTGCAAAATTTAAAGGAAATCTGAGTGTCGCACTTGGGGTACTTCCCTTGTAAGCCTAATTTGCCTAAGCCTGAGGCTAAGACTAAGCCTGATATTCCTTGTAACCAGAGATTGTCACGGCTCCGGAGCCGGCTCTTGGCTTCGGCTCTGAGCGGCTCCGGCTCCGAGCAGGGAGCAGTTTCCGGAGCCGGAAATTTTGGGGTCGGCTCCGGCTCCCGAGCCCAAAGTCGGAGCCAGGCTTCCCAACGGTCAGAAAAGTAAAAATTTCGTGATCTTGTTAAACCAATTTGCTTGAAAAACACTGCGGAGGTTGTGGCTTGACTGCAAAAAGGTTGGCTGTATGATCTCTGGCACTAATAACTTTTATTTTTGGAAAAATATTTTTAAAAAACATTTTGCATAGGAGCCGGGATTCGGAGCCGGAGGCCTTTTTAAATTTTGCACGGAGCCAAGAGCCGGAGCTGAAAATTTGGCCCCGGCTCCGGCTCTGGGAGCTAAGAGCCGGAGCCGAAATTTTGACCGTGGCAATCTCTGCTTGCAACCGGAATTTTTCGGGCTGCAAAGCCTTCTTTTCGCTGGGGCCAGAAAAAGGAAGTTTTTCTTTGTTTCACTTACTGTCTCGGCGAACGATAGAAATCACCATTCATTTTTGTCACGACATGAATTTACAGCACAATTTAGCCCGAAATATGAGGAGTTACATTATTTTAGACCCAAAATTATTTCCGAATTCGGAATTTCCTTCTCATTCGAAGCCGAATTTGTCTCATAATCAGGAAATAAACAATCGAATTGGCGTCATTCCGGCTATTTTCTAGTCGGAAAAAGAGCTGGGAAATAAACTTTTCATAAATTGCACTGTCCAAATTCACAATAAAGCCTCACTTACCTGATCAGCCGAAGTAAGTGGGTTCAGTGGAGGTTCGGCCGTTCGTTTTGGCTGAAACCCGACCGCTTCGCAGCGAAAATTCCGTTGATACAATCATTTTTCATTCATAAATCGACTTTTACGCTCTTGAAATTTGAATAAATTTTCAAAAAAGTTGAGATTTTATAGGATTTTTTATATTTTTTAAGATTTTTTGGCTAAAACTTTGGATTTTTAAAAGATTTTTGCGATTTTCAAGGGTTCTCATAAAATTTTCTTTATTGAAATGACTTCCAAGAACTCTGAAATTACTCGTAATATTACTCTTTGTCCTTTCCAGTTCAATTGTTATCCGAAATTTCCAAAAGTTCTCATTTCTCTTCAAAAAGTCACCATTTTTAATTGAATTCCCTATTTTTTGTTGCTTTCTCCCCAAAATTTCCCCCTTGTCCAGCTTCTTCTTACTACAACCAGCTTGTCAAATTAATTTACCATGTAAAAGGTCGTATTTTTGATATTCATTTTCACCTGGAAACGTAAAGTTATATCGAAAATCCAATTTTTCGTCGGGTTTGGCAAGAAAAAGTGCGCCAATTGGGTTATTTTTACGATTTTGGCAGGATTACATTCGTATTCTTATCGTTTACGGGGTCGTAATTCGTCGTATACAAGTTCGGATATTATAATAGGGCCTAATGAAGAGGGAAAAAGGGTTATTTTGAGCGAGAAAACTTGGGATTTTGTTGCGAATTTTTAGTCCATAAGTTGTAGAATAGAAGGTAGATTATTCTCCAAGTTGAGATGTTATTTTATATTGTCGTATTTTACCTTAAATTCACAAAAAATGCATGAAAAACGCCTAAAAACGCATCTCTTTTCCTTCTCTTTTCGGCCTTTTGAAACGAAGAGAGAACGGAACAAGAAAAGGCGTGTGCTTCCGTGGCGCAATCGGTTAGCGCGTTCGGCTGTTAACCGAAAGGTTGGTGGTTCGAGTCCACCCGGGAGCGAGTACTGTTTTTGTTTTTTTTTTGAGGTTTTTCTGAAAAAATACATCTTATATGATCAATATCCAATTTTTCGTATTTTACACTTCGTTTTTTACTCAGTTCTTTGATTTTTTCGGATTTTAAGGGAGATTTTGATAAGTGTTTTTTGTCAGAAAAATGTAAAAAAACATTGTAATTTTGGGTTACTGTAACATTTTAAAGTCTAAAAAGTATTTTTTTCGGGCTCATAGAGAATTTCTAAACAAGAATCCAACTGTATTTTGTCAGCATTTCCTCATAATTTTCGTATTTTCTCTCCCAAACCCATGCATACCGCATGATTTTCTCCTCCCTCAAAATTTTTAATGTTGAGCGCAAAACAAAGGCCAAGGATGGGCCGAAAAAAACCGACTGCACTTTTTTTTTTGTTATCCCTTCTTGGCCGTAGGTTCGGGCCACACCGGCCGTTTCAATTCGCCATTGTGTTGGAAACCGGTTTTTTTGGGCCGCGCACTTAAAATAAATTGCCTCGGGCGATTTAATTTGCCTCAACCTGCTGAAGTGCGTGGTTAGGGGACATTTTTTTTAAATTTTTGAAGGTTTTTCGTAAAATACGAAATGGTTGAAAGTAGAAAAAATAAAATTTTCTGTCAGATATTGAACGATTATTACTTCTGACAGCTTAAAAGCGCGTTTAATCCAATTTATGAGCGGGAAATTTCGGGAAAAGTAAGTCAATTTGTTGCGCAGTCCCAAATCCGCCGTTTCATTGTCTCAAATTTCGAGGTTTGAAGTGCGTTCGGGACTTGAAAATGACATTTGGTGTTCGTGGGAGTTGCTGTGGAGCAGAGACAAAATTTTTTTGAATTGCGAAAAAAAATGTTTAAAAAAAAATATTTTTTTTTAAATTCAAATCCGATTTTTATAAAATTTTTCCAAAATTTGCACATCAACTCGACATATGTTGTACAGTAGCGGACCTGATCCAGTGGCAAAAAACGTACCATCTTGTATCCGGGAAGCATCAAAAATGTGGCAAAATGCCTCCCTCTCCAACTAAAAAAAGACTACGGTTTGAACTGCTAGCAGTCGCGCACCAAATTTCCAGTTACAGCTAGCTGTCGCAATCTGATGATGGGCGATTTCAAAGCGCGACCAGTCGTCACTATTTTCCCGACAGTCCAAGATTATTTTTTCAGGCCTAAAATGGACGACAAAGAAACATTTTTTGTCATTTTTTTAATCAACGTGTTTTATGAATTGTCGTAAAATGCATTTTAGACCCATTTTACAACTTTTTCGACCTTACATAACGCCAAACCTTAACCTTACACCCAGCTTCAGAATGGTATAACACTAGCAATATCAAATTATATATATATATATATATATATATATATATATATATATATATATATATATATCACCTACTCGTAAAAACTTTCTCTTTTTTTGCCATGTTCAACATAAATCCTCTCTCTTTTTTTGTCCGGAGGCATATGCAAATGCCGACCGCATCCGCATTTCTTATTCCAGCGCGCTCTAATTAGTGCTCTTGGTTTCATTAGCGGTCGCCGAATGCACTGTGCACATGTCACTGTCAGCGGAAGAAGGGAGATGAAAAGGGGGCCTGCGGCAAAGTCAGAGGTCCGCGAAATGAACTAGAGGTTTTGTGGAATTCGAAATTTGAATTTATGGCCAGAAGGATGACTTTTGAAATTTTTGAAAATTTGAGTTTATTTGTGGTAATACGTACATATAGGGTACCCCAATTTTTTAACACTTTTGCACATATCATTTACATAGCCTATCGATCAATTTCTAAAAAGTTTAGCGCACAATTTGCATGTAGAATCGAAATATTGAACGATAAAGTTAGAGAGTACGGAAAAAATGAGACCGGCAGAGAAAACAACATTTTTGACGATATCTTTGCAAATATAAGTGCGAAAAAAATTATTTTTTGCTGAAATATTGCTCTCCTCATTAGAAATTGATCGCCGATTTTTTAATGAAGAAATTTTTTCAAAAGTATCAAAAAGTATCCATTTTTTGAAAATTTTGTAATTTAACTCTATTCGTCTTCCGCATAGCGCGAGTGTATAATTTTGATCTTTAACATTCAATTTCAGCCCATTCCTCACATTTTTAGCTTAATGCCCTCGGGCCAAAGTCGATTCCTCTTCATTAATTTATTAGCCAAATTTCGCTGCCGACCCCAAATTTTCCCCCTCCGAAAATTTGCATACGCGATAAAATTTTCACTTGCCAAACTGCGCCGCCCTTGGGGAAATAATTCCTGACCTCAGCGCGTGCTGGAAATTATAGAGAGGCTGGAAAACAAATTAGGCAAATTCCAATTTTATCGCATTTGATGCGCAACAGTCGGGGGATGGTGTGGCCAAGTGCGTCTTGAGTGTGGGCCGCGATGAGTGTGGGGTTTAATTAAGAAGGAGGATTGAGAGCTTTGAGATGGGATTGTTGATGTAAGAGGGGATCGGGAATGGTGATTTAGGGGTTTTTTGGCGTTCTACAGAGTTTTTTGTATTATAGTTTAGATAGAACCCCTGAAAAGGGAAGTCACATTTTTTGCAGACGGACATTGGCACGGGACCTTGTACAGTGAGGGACCGGATTCAGTGGCAAAAAACGTACCAATTTGCATCCCGGAAGGGACCAAAACGTCTCCAAACCCTTCCCTTCTCTAAGCTAAAAAACTCCGCTTTGAAAAGCGCGCCCTTTCCTTCAAGGCGGGCTCTTCAAATCGGAGTTTTTTAGCTTAGAGAAGGGAAGGGTTTGGAGACGTTTTTTGACACTGGATCCGCTCCCTAGCTGTAGGTTTCCAACGTGAAGCGTCAGCGATCATAAAACTGATTTCCAAAAGTTTTTACGCGGCTTCTCGGCCGAGAAAATCGACCGCAAAGTTTAGCCGAAATAGGTGTGAGATTTCGCGGTCAAAATGGTGGCGATACAAAGTTCTTGATCTTGAGTAGATATGGTATACCCTACAGACAACTTTAAGGCATAGGAAAATTTACGACCGGTATAAAAAGCATGGACAGTCCTTGAGAAGTTGAAAATTGAAAAACTTGCCTTATCAGCAGTTTTTTCGTGGGCTCAACATAAGGCGCTCATATCACCGAGTTACCCCCACCAAAGTGTCCAGTTTTCTGTCAGTCCCTCGACTTTCACATCTTGATAATTTCTCCGGCACAGAAATTGCCTAGTCTTAAATTACGACAGTTTCCATTAATGGATACTTTTTGATACTTTTGCAAAAATTTCATCAATAAAAAACCGGCGTTCAATTTGAGCAAAATCTCAGCAAAAAGAGATAATTTTTTCCGGCATAGATATGCAAAGACATCGCCAACATTTTTTTCTCTGGCGGTCTCATTCTTTTCCGTACTCTCTAATCTTTTCGTTGAATATCTCGATTCTAAATTCAATGTGGGCGCTAAAATTTTCAGGGATTGATTGGCGGAGCATGCAAATGATATGTACAAAATTTTGAAAAAATTGGGGTACCCTATATGTGCGTACTACAAAAAAAATGTCAAATTTTCAAAAATTTCAAAAATCATCCTTCTAGCGACGAATTCAAATTTCCAATTCCAGCAAACCATCAGTTCATTTTGCGAACAAAATACGGCTAAAGGGACCTCTGACTTTGCCGGTTTGTACCTATACCAAGTGCAGGTACACTATATGAGGAAGATTTTTACATTCTTATTCTTCGACAGACATAACTTTACCATAAATTTTCAATTTTTTACCATGTTATTTTACCATG